AAATTTCAATCTACCACCCTGTAGCCCTGTCGCTGGTCTCAATAATGGGGCTAATTTATAGTTCTTGTTCATGGGGTAGGACGTACAGTTCTTAATTATTGGTTTTGAGCCCGCGGTGGAATTGCTTTTAAGGCTGAACAGGAGCACCGGAGGCCGAAATGTTAAGAGCTTAGTCTGTTTAGCAAGAAGAAAGGATGTTTCCACATTTACTCCCAGAGATTCATAACCCTTTGGTTGTCCCTAAACATACAGAAGCCACAGGAAAGAATGGCATCTGGTTCCTCTAGCATGAATCTTTTCAAGAAACTACAGCATGAACCAAGCAACCGAGTTGGGGTCTTTCCACAAAGATGGACACAACCTTCACCCATCTCATACTAGGTAACTCTTGACTTTTAAAAAAGGGTCTGTGTATGGAGTTCACATGCACATTTATTCATATTGAGGTTACCTTCAGAGACTGATGATTGTTCTATGGCTTGAAGAGCCTAAAAGCTGGGCACACAAGCTTGGTATATATATATTTTAAATTCTTCTGGTTTGCTTCCTCCTGTAATAAATGGCTATTTGCTTTTATGTAATCCCTAACACTTCTTATTCTCTTAGGTTTAGTTCTAGACTCAGCTAAATATGGGAAATCATGAATGAGATCAAAAACCTGATCTGTCAGCCCTACTCCTACAATTGCCAAGGTCTTATTAAAGTTTACCAAACAAATGGGTGGGGAGTGTAAGGGCCCTCCAGAGGCTGTTCTACTAGAACCTTGTGTGTAAGAGATGGCAAAGAGCAGAGGAACCTAAATGGGCACACACACTCACTGGCTGCTTTGCTGAGTCCAATATGGAGCAATGATGGACACTCCAAAATAACAGTAGCATTGTGTCATGCAAACATAGGGTCCCTACACATTCCGGTTAGCTATCAACCCCAGCTCCAATTAACCATGTTTAAGCAGGAGGCAAACTTGCTCCAGAAAGGATGCTCTCAAATTACCTCCTCATTTATTACCCATGGTGAAGAGGGAAGCCAGAGTTGTGCCTACACCAGCCCCAGATGTGTTATTAGTCACTGTTGCTTCACATACATCTCTGAATCAGCTACAGCTACATTTCCCTTAAGCGTTTACAAGTGGACTCTGGTTATATATGCTTTCCCTCCCCCCCCCCGCCCCAGTTAGTCTTCACAAACAGGAGCATTGTTTGGGTTCTTTTGAATTAAGTTTTATATAGTTTTGTCAAACCTACTATACTGCTGCTTCTTCACTTATGGTTTTAATGGGTTTGCAAATATAAAATGTTACCAGCGCTATAAAAACTTCTGCTTCACCTAGGCTCTGCACTGTAATAGCCATCAGCATTTATTTTTGCAAACACTGTACATGTGGCAATAAATTGTACTTCCCAGGTACATAGAAAATGTCTAGAAATCTACAATGTGCTTTGTTTCATTTGGTGTTTTGTAAGGGTTTTGTTGTTCCTGAAATTTCCCAGAATAAAGAAATAACAACAACATGTTCAGAAAGATTAGAGAAAGCTTAATAGTCTTAATTTTACTAGATCACATAAAGTACTTTTTATCCTTCTGTTCACTTATTCTTCCAATGTTTTATGTGTTCCAGCTACACTTTGTATATGTTCAGTGTGTAACTGGTTGCCCAGACACTTTCAGGATCACAGTGGAAGATAGGAAGACAAACAAACAAACAAACACCCCACACTCTTCTAACCATGAACTCAATGCCCTATGTTGACAAAATTAAACATAAATGAGAAATGTGTAGCAGTATGTGCAAAGGAACCCAGATGACTGCAGATATACCAAAAACAATAAAATTGTTAACAACCCTATAAACACAACACATTGTAAAATGTCCCAGTAATTTTTTTAAAAAATTGTATCATTCCTTTAATTTGCTCATGCCCTTTATGCACCTACTGTGGTATTCATCAGGATGAAAAATAGCTTAAAATATATCAACCATGTTTAATGGTATTATATATGTGTTTATGTGTGCATATGCATATAGGATTCATTATTATATTTATATGATGTAAAGACCTTTGGTAGCATTCTCTAGAATAATTTGTGGAAGAATATTTCAGATTGCCTGGTTTTGAAGCTTAGTCCAGAAGGGCCCATTAAATTTTTTACAGCAGTTTGCAACAACAGAAAGCCCATCTGAACGTGGTTAGAAAACAACAATAGCACCTGAACACTGACTTCCCAAAGAGAGGAGCAGAAGAGTGTGCACTACAGAGATTGAGGTCAGTGATCAAGACCCTACCATGTCTGAAAAGCAGGAGACTACAAGCAACTTAAAGTCACCATCCTACAGGTTGCAGGCTTTCCGCAAAAAAATTCAGAAGGATATCACATCAATATAAGCCAATGTGACAAGATGTGTTATTTCATCAAGCACTATTGCTGAGCTGTCTGCAGGGTCCCGATCCATCAACGAAGTGAAGCATGCCAAAGGGGGCTTCCATATGGGTAGACGGCTCGCAGGGCCAAGTTGAACTATCTGCACATACTTGGACGTAGGTCTTGATAACCACCAGCTATCATGTACGACTAACTGTCCGAGAACAGGACTGGATCAGCTCTTGTGGCACTCAGTGAGGCTTGTGTAGGAGCAAGGCCCAAAGGACATGAATGGAAGTTACTTTGGAGCAGTGCCTCATGAAGAGAGGACATAACGCTGAATCTAGAATGAAGCAGTTTGCAGTGAACTCTGAAATATTTCAAGGCTTCCTTACCCATTTCTATCTGTGGTGAGCAAGCAAAAGGGGGTGAATTAACTATCCATGCAAGTACATTCACTCTTACAATGACTCTAAGCAAGCAGGCTCACCTCTGTAGAGAGCATGTGTTTTGTCTCATATAAAGAACGACAGATTTTCAGAATCTCATTCCCCGTATTCTCCTTCTGTTCTTGTTGGCATTTCATAAGCATGACTGTTCCCAGCTTAACCCAGGGATTATTACTTGGTCTTGCTCTGGAATGTAGGAGGGGGAGGGAAACAGTTCATTATATTAAAAGCCAACTGTGCAAGCAAACACCAAGTATGTAGTACGTATACAGTATATGTTTATCTGCTCATGCATATAAATTGAGTTATTAGCAGCATATAGTTGAGACAATAAAAAACCCTTAAAAATCAAGATCTGGTAATGATGGAAAGGATGTCTGACGGACTTGCAGCCGTGGATGATATACTGTACAGCCATGAGAATAAAAAGAACATCCAAAGTTAGATGGAGATTTCTCTTCATAAAGGAAGAGAATATCAAGGAGGAGTTCTGATTTTCAAAGTCAGGTTCTCTTAATGCTTCTCAGTCATTGACTCAAGACACTCTTAAGCTACTGCTGCTTACAGCAATAAATTACAAAACAAAGGCTGGAACAACATATAAAGATACTACAGAGATGGATAATTGCTGGCTTTCTCCTTCATTAAAAGAAAAAAAAATACTGAGGAACAAAAAAAATGCAAACATGGGGGGGGGGAGAGAGAGATGAATCCAGCTCTGTGCAAATTAATTTCATAATAAACTAAGAAGGATGCCATGCAATGTTACCTCAGAAGGAAACATTAGCTGTTAATAGTAAATAGGCAGACATAAATGTGAACTTGTATGTGTATGCACATGCCTGTTGAAAAGCAAGTTGCTTACTTATTATTGTTTGTTCTTCAAGTGGTAATTTGTGCACTCGCATATACTGATTAACACCTGTACAGAGATGCCATCTTCTCAAAGAGAGCACTGGCAGTAATCTGATCATCTACCTGCCAGGCAATGCCTCAGTCTAAAAGTTGGATGACAGAGTGGGAGAATATTAGCCAACCCCATGAGCCAAAAAGAGGAGTAAGGAAAGATCATGGAAATGCACAAAGCATCACTTGAAGAGCAGCACTACAGGTAAGCAACCAAATTATCTCCATAATGGTCTCTGTACATCACGTGTGGGTAAAGACTAATAGGTTTCCTTGAAAAACTCTGGAAGGCAGGTACGTATGCTCACTAGGGCATAATAGAGAAGTATTCTTCCAAATGGAGCATCCCTGAGAGACCTGGTGTCTAGGTAACAGTGTTGGATGGAGGTTAATGGTTGGGACTAAGTCACTGTTTGATACATTTCCGGTAGGAAGACTCCTTTCCTGGAGTCATTGGAGGTGTCCGTAATTCTGGTGGAGTGACTTTTCGGAGCAGCTGGCAACAGTCTGACCTACTTGGTATGCCCAAAACCATTTTCTTCACAATACATTTGGCAAGGTGTTGGAAAGAGACTGAAAATCGACAAAGAAGGGCGAGTTGAATATATCATTTGGTGTTGGCAGATTTACACAAGTAGGAAGACTACTTGGAGTGGTGGGAGGCCAAGAAGGTATTTTCGGATGAGAAAAGCTTGTTGTGAAACTTATTTAATGTTGAACATTAGTGTCAGGAATAGTTGGATGATCTTGGCCAGGTAGGTTGACATCACTACACAAGGACAGTTGAATTCCAGTGAGTTGGGTCACATTGGAGAGTTAGTGGAGACTGTCTTGTTCCTTGTCAGAGAATAGGTTAAGGTCATCAAAGGATATATCTTCTGTCTTAATATGATTACTGTTACATAAGATTGTAGAGTGCAGCCAGGAAATAAGATAATGGTTCCCATTAAGGCCTTAGACATGCATTCCACAGTGTGCCTCGCTGAGCCGATGGATTGGTTATTTGATGTTGTTTTATTTTAATTTATTGTTGTTGATTATTATCTCATTTTCTTTTGTGAACTGCCCAGAGCAGCCTTGGTAGCCAGATGGGCGGCATAGAAATCAAATAAACAAATAAATGAATAAATTTATAAGAATAAATCCTTCTTCTTATCCCCAGACCAGAATTCCACCTGGCTGCCTAGCTCATCCCAAAAGACAACTGCCACCGTTCTCGATACACCTGCTGGTGTGCAATCCTCAGACCCAATGCCACTTTCTGGCTGAGGAAGTCGAAGAGCAGAGGAGGAGTTCTTTTCAGCAGAGGAGGAGGTGACAGTTACAAAGTTCATCCTGAACTCAGCAGAAAGCCTTTTTAAAGTGATGAGAGGTAACAAGTGTGTAGGACGCTTTGTGCCAAGTTGTCTTTAGGGTTGTTAACAGGGAGGTCAGCATAAAAGCACCCCTGAGGGACAGCCTGCTGATGCATGGACTGGAGATCAGGAGGGAAAGGACTACGTACTGCCAAAACTGGCTCTATTTAGAAAGTTCCAAACAACAGTTCTCCACAGGCATAGACCATAAGCATGATGCACATGGATCATGGCAGAGAATTCGTGAATGCAGGTCCCTTTAACAGGTGTCATGCACATCAGACAGATTTTTGCACCATACTTTGACAATATAGGGAATTAATTTACTTACTTACTTACTTACTTACTTACTTACTTACTTACTTACTTACTTACTTACTTACTTACTTACTTACTTACTTACTTACTTACTTACTTGATTTATGTACTGCCCCCATTAGAGCGATGCACTATTCTGGGCAGTTTACAAAAATAGATAAAACATTTCATGATAAATTAGAAGATACAAACATTAAAACATTAGGGGGGAAAAGACCAAGTGGCACCAAAGGCAATTCTCTGTGTGACGGCAGGACACAAACAAGGTCAGTGTGGAAAACCTCCCTGAAAAGCAATGTTTGAAGTTGGCTTCTAACTAATTAATGTAAAAACACAGCTGAAATACACAAGTTTTATTTTTCTGTATATGTTTACTGGGGAAGAGGAAAAGAGCATTATATTAACTGTCAGGCCCTGAACCACCAGACTATTAACAAAACCTAAGACAGAGCAACATCAAACAAAGATGAGAAATTATGGTGTGCCAAGTAAGAAGAGATCGTAAAAAGGTCAGCTGTCAAGAGTGCAGTTTTGTTCAGGAGACCTTTGGACTCAAATTGTTTCATCTCCTAATTTGAGAAGGCTGCACCACTGAAATGGAAGCTGGCTGGAAAGCTCCCATGGATGCTTCTCAAGGGTGGTGCACTGTCAAGATAAGACATAGCAGAAGGTTGCTCTGAGCATATAAGGATGTCAGGTGGTGCAAACGATGGAAGTCTGCTCCTGGATGCACCAGTTTGGCATCAGAGGAAGAGTGCTCATATCACAAAAAATGCATCTCTGGGATCACAGAGGAAAGTGTGGTGGATCTTGGACTAGAGGCTCCGTCCATGCTGTGTCCTCTAACAATGCTAATAATACTCACTGTAACAGTAGCAGCATAGTCTGACAAGCCTAAATACAATTATATTTTACAAGCATAAAGGGACAACAACTTTGAATAGAATGGAGATGAACTTAAGAGTACCTAAAAAGAAAGCTTACCAAATATGTATCATTGAGACCTTTTTGGGGAAAGTTGGATGGTCCTGATCCAGCACAACTTACATCTGGATACTTGATACAGCAAAAACGGAAGCCAGAGGGAAGGGAGATCACTATCATCCCCACCAGGAAATTCTTTCATGCAGGTAGGCTTTGATGATTGTCAGTACACTAGGTATCACATTCCCTCCCCGGACCACCGGAAGTATGCTTAAGAGTATCCTGCAATTGTCATGTGTTGTCCAACATTCAATTGTCTGTCTTACTTACTGCAATTGTCCAACATTCACGCCAAAACCACAGTGAATGAATAAACTTGGGACTTCATGACAACCATGGGATTGCCAAGGATGGTCACTGAGGCAACCTATAGGGCAGGATATACTCTTCGTTCCCACCTTTTCAGAAGATGGGAGGAATGGTTTGGCTATAGGAAACTTTTGGTGACTCTACTGTGATGGTAAAAACACTTTCTCATGAAGTCTGGTTTTGCAGCATCTTTTCCATCCCAAAGGGGTACAGTATCTATTAAGATGATCCACTCTTGGAGATCAATAGAATCTGATAAATTCCTGCATGCTTCAGTGGATTTTCCAGTAGCTAAAGCTGGTGACACTGTCAAGTCCCTGCTCATGTTTCAGAACTGCAAGATGGAAGGAGTCATCAATCTACTTACTTCTGTGTAACCAGCAACATGGATGCAAAATAATTCTTAGTCCTCGAAAGAACTCCAAGCAACGAAGCAGATTGGACGACTGCTAGCGTAGCAATGACACGAGGCTCAATTTGTAGCTATCTGAATATATGTTAGAACAGTGGTTCTTAACCTTTGTTACACGGATGCTTTTGAACTGCAACTCCCAGAAACCCCAGCCAGCACAGCTGGTGGTGAAGGCTTCTGGGAGTTGCAGTCCAAAACTCCTGAGTAACCCAAGGTTAAGAACCAGTGTGTTAGAACACATAACTGTACTTAATGCAAGGTGGTGAGAATTGTGGAAAAGGGTTACTGCATTCTCAAGCAGCTGTTTAGCAGAGCTTCTCTAAGGCAGTACCGGGTTTATTAACCACTGCCACAGCAAATATGACATGTCAACTGACCGAGCGCTGTTGTCAAGTTTTTTCAAGGTATTTTGAAGAGATAACTGGTAGTAGTGGGTATGTTAAGAAGACCGTGGGACAATCACTTAAAAGAAATCTTCCCCAGATTTGGAGGTTTATACTTGCTCGACTTGTCACTACTATGTGATGGTGAATGTTAAATGCTTGAGGAAAAGGCAACTTCAGGGATTCTCAAAATGCATCAATTATCTAGCCTCACAGTGTGGCTCCCATTATGGGATAGAATTGGACTTGACTCCCTGATCAAGAGAAGGAGAGCTACTCTGTTATTCTCACTCACCCACCATCTTGCCTTTAATGTTTTATCACACTGCTGCACGGAGTCAGTCATTAGGTGATTTGGAGCAGGCTGGCATCAATATGCTGGTGATGCTCAGCTCTACTTCAGGGGAAGCCAGAGATAATTGAAATAAGTGCTTGAATGCTGTGGTGGGCTCCAGCACATCTAACAAGTTGAAGCTGAATCCGGACAAAATGAAATGATTTTCAATAGAAAATAAACAGGAAAATAAAGAGTGGGGACATATATATAAAGGAAGGGGGGAACCCCTGTGTGTATCACATATATAACTGTGGCCCTCATAAGGGCTGACGACTAGCCTAATACAACCTGATTCATATACAGCTGCTTTCTTCACAGTGACAAGACACATGGATGTTATGTGTGATGAACTAAGACTATGTGGGCTTGTTATCTGAAAAAAAATGAACATATCTGATTTGATTTCGTAGAACCTATAAAGGAAGGAAGGAAGGAATATGCAGAGCTCTCTGACTTCAGCAAGGGCTCGGGTGTCACCAGATACAATATATTGTATTGATTAATTTATGAGTAGGTGCACTCAGCATTGTTGCTGAAGAGAAAATGAATGTGAGACTAGTCAGCTGTAGTGTAGTTTGCACAGTGACATTCTGTTTGCTTTTTCCAATACATATATTCAACTCCTGCAGCAACAATTTTCTCAGCAAAATAATTCCCTCAGCAGTTTGGCCAATGGTAAGACAGAAGGCAATTTCATCTTTCATCTTTCATCTAATCTTTTATCTAATATTTTTAATACAAAGGTTATTAAATTCCCTTTTTTAAATATTTAAATAACTTATTGTTTTTAGGCTTTTGATATTTTTAAAATGATGTAAACTATGTCAGGTCCTTTTTAAGAAAAACAAAAGGACCAAACACTTTCTCAGCCCCCTTCCAAGTTTCAAGTCCACAAACTAAGGAATGAAAATGTGAGCCAGCCTGTCAGAGAATGTCGGTAGCTCTCTCTGTCAAACTAAACATTCTTGATTTGTTCCTGAAAGGAGGGACAAGCAGCTGTGGCAGTATGTGCTGTTCAGGGAAAACATATCACAAGTGTTTCCAAAGTCAAAAATATGGCAATGCAGTTTTCAAAAACAACCTTCAAAAATTGTTGCTAATGTATAAGCAAATACTTACATATCTGGGCTTCTCATAGGGGGCCAAGCTTGCAGGAGCATAACTAAATGCTGAAATTTGACATGGTCCTCACTAGTTTCCAGAAGTTTCAAAAAGAGAGCGTATCTCTTTTCTTCATTTTCAGTATCAGTTACTTCTACCTAAGAAATTAGGAAAAAGCAACAATTCATGCAAGATTCAGCGTAACAAGCTATCTATGGTATAATTTCCCAGCAATAAATATGCTGTATTCTTATTTGTCATCAAAACCCCCATTTTAAAATACAGAAGAAGTCTAAGATTTTGCTGAGCTGCATTTTATTCAGTCTTGCCTCCAATTATATGGGCTGAAATTACCTGGAGTTATGTTCCCTAAACAACACTAAACCCAAACAAGCAGATTAATGGAATAGTTCTAATGATCCCTCCACCTCCTTGAATTCCCTACAAAAATAAAATTTATGATACCTTACTAGCGTAGATTATTGAATCTGTAATACAACATTCTTACTGGAACATTAAATCTTAAAGATCTCATGCTGTAATACCAAGCAGACAGCCTGTCAACACAAGAGTTCTTCCAAATGTCACAGTGCTCCAAAGGAGCATTAAAGAATAAGCGGCTCACAATGTTAAAACTTCTGCCTCACATTCAATATAACACTAATAGAAGAAAATCTAAAAAGATGATGATGTCTTGGTTATGACTAGAGATGGGCACGAATTGAACTACGAACCCCACCCCACCCCCCAAAAAAAGAAAAAGAAAAAAAATCAGGTAAGCATGACCAGGTAGGGAGGTGATGGGGGAATTGGGAAGTGGACAGGTGGGCGGCAGAGGGAGGTGGAGGCATTAGGTTCCCCTCCCCCTAGGCATGAACTGATAAAACAACCCACAAACGAGTTTGTTTTTCTGGGGTTTATGGGTGGTTTGTGGGTAGCCATAAGCCACCCCAATTTGTCATTTTTCTGGTTCGTACCCATCTCTGCTAGTGACTGCTAGTGACAAGGCCAACCAAATGCCCTTGAGTAAACTGATCATCAAGAATGGTGACCACCTCTATAAAAGCCATGGTTTTAGCAATTTGCTGGTCTGGAGCATTCAGGTCTGTGCTATCACAACGCAAAGGAGGAAATGCATGAGTACAGAAGCAGTTGTTTACAATGTTTAATGGAAACTGGCCGGAGTAGACGTTGTCTAAAAGGGCGGGATAGAAATCTAATAAACAAACAAACAAACAAACAAACAAACAAACAAAACAAACAAACAAACAAACAAACAAACAGTTGCTGTTCATCCTTCTGGGAAGGATCATAAGGCCATTTCCAAACAATTTGAAGTCCATCATTTACAGTGAGGAAGATTATTAACAAGCAGAAAACATTTGAGAGAGTTGCCCATCTTCCAAGGAGTGGACGTCCAAGCAAATTCACCTCAAGGCCAGACTGTGCAATGCTCAGAGAAACTGCAAAAAACCAACAAAAAACAAAACAAAAAAACCCTGCAACCAACCAACCAACCAAAAAACCCCGAAAATTATATCTAGACTTTACAAGCCTCAGTTAGCATGTGAAATGTTAAAGTTCATGACAGTACAATTTAAAAAAGACTGAACAAGTATGGTTTGTAAGGTTGCCAGTTGCTTCTTCTCTCTAAAAAGAACATGGCAGCAGGCTTAGGTTTGCAAAGTTGCGTTAAGACAAACCACAAAACTTCTGGAACAATGTCCTTCGGACAGATGAGACCAAAGTAGAGGTGTTTAGCCATAATGGACAGTGCCATGTTTGGTGAAAACCAAGCACAGCATATCAGCACAAACGCCTCATATCAAATGTCAGGCACGGTGGTGAACGGGAGATGATTTGGGCTTGTTTTGCAGCCCCAGGACTTGGGCACCTTGCAGTCACTGAGTCCACCATGAACTCCTCTGTATACCAAAGTATTCTAGAGTCAAATGTGAGGCCATCTGTCCAACAGCTACAGATTGGCCAAAATTGGCTCATGTAACAGGAGAATAATGATCCCAAGCATACCAGGAAATCTACCCCAGAATGGCTGGAAAAGAAATGAATCAAGGTGTTGCAATGGCCCAGTCAAAATCCAGACCTCAACCCGATTGAAATGCTGTGGTGGGACCTTAAGAGGGCTGTGGATAGGCAAATGTCCACAAACCTCAATGAACTGAAGGAACATTGTAAAGAATCGTGGGACAGAATTCCTCCACAATGGTGTGAGAGACTGATAAAGACATATAGAAAATGATTACTTCACGTTATTGCTGCTAAAGGTGGTTCTACAAGCTATTGAATCATAAGGTGTGCTTAGTTTTTCATACATAGCTTCTCCATTTTGGCTTTATTTTTGCAGAATAAATCATGACACGGTGTTACATGCCATGTGCTGTAGTTCATCTGCGGTTGTATTTACCTAATTTTCAGAGCTGCTAAGGAGCCTGCCTTCAAGAGATTTACCAGCAAGTAGAAGTTTGGGACTTTTGCATAGTTTCGCATGCCTTTGTTAATCAGGAGCCAGACACAAGCATATGTCAAGAAGCTTTCACAAATAAGTTTTTTTAAAATCTGTCTTGCCTCCTCCTCCTCCTTTTGCATAGTTGGCTTTATGGACTTGAATCTAGTATTTTTAGGTATGTGCACAATTTCTGATTTTTAGATATTTGTAATTTGTAGTTTTAAGTACAAATACATATGCAGGGTGTCGGATGCTCTGTGCTGCTTTGGAGGAAGATAAGAACGAGGAAATAATGAATAATCTGCAAGTGGAGGGCTGGAAGATGTAAGACTCAGTTGAAGGCACTCTGCTTCACTTCAGGGCAGAAAAGGCTAAGACTGCAGCTTCACAACTAGATGTGGGGCTGCCAGAAGAAATAAAGGAGGTCTGATTACTTTCCAGACTTGTTCCATAGCTTTGCAAGTTAAAAATTAGATTACTTTTGTTCAGTAGTTGGTCATAGGGAGATAAACACTGGGCTTCATTGACATGCTGATTGTACAAACACAGCAGCTGTGCATAATGCGTCCCTGAAGTAGTAATGCTCTATCATCTTCTCATTGTGAAGCTGCTATATCATCAGGTTTTGGCCTTCAGTCTGTGGCTAATTAACTGCATTTTTGCTCACTGTACACAAAACCGTAACTGCATTTCTAATTGTTCTTTCAAGGTTAGTCGACTGGCTGAACCAAAGGGAGAGATGCCTCCGCCCCCCGTTCCACACAGAATCTGTCTGAAATGTCGTCCAGTCGTCAAGATTGACGAGTGGACCACAGTCTCATCTGTACCTGAGGGCAGCAATATACTGTAATTTAGGAGGCACAGGGCGGGTCGTACATAGTGTACTTAAGCTCGGTTCTCCAACACCTTGTCATCACCTCCCCCCCACCCCCAAATCTGCTGTTCGAGGAGGCTGTCTCATTTGTTCTTCCTAGTGTTACAGCCAATCCTGTACGTAATGATGACTGTCCATTAGAATTAGAATGGACAGTGTTGAGAGACTAGATTTTTTCTCTCCCTGCAGGCCTTCCACACTCCCAAACCTGTTCCTCATGTTTGAGGGATTATCTGGAGAATATTTGGGGAGAACATGGAGCAATGTAGGAGGAAGGACAGGGGAAGAATGTATTCCAACGTATGAGCAGATAGTCACTCATGAATTTGGAGCCCTGCAATGTGAAATTCTAGCATTTCTTCTGCTTAAATTGAGTTTACTGGAATTGTCTTCATTCTAACGGAGTTATTGAACTATAGCTGTTTATCTCGGTGGTGTTTTCTAACAGCTGGAATTGAACTGAGAAATTACACTGGCACTAACTTTGCTGCCATAAATTTCAGCTACTATGGCTGTGTGTTGTTAAGTCAGTGCAGGCATTGCCTGTCGTGGTCCAGGTCCCGGCACAGCATGTTCCCACGCTGACTTCCGTGCCTGCAGCAATTCACATCTGAGATTTATGCTGACAGAGTTGGATGGAGGGCAATGAATGAATAGGATTCTGGCCAGGGTTGTTAATTTCTCATTTTGACTCATGATTCCTTTGATTTGGTACCAACACATGACTGCCTTGCCTCCCCAGATGAAGAAAGTCCTCTCATACCTGTTATCTTTCATTTTAATAAGAGGACTGGTGATGTGCAGTCTTGGAACAG